ATGAAATAAAACCGAAAACTGCGTCACTGTTCAATATTCAGTTTGGTGATGGAGTATTGCGAATAACACTTTTGGGCATTGATGCTGTAATAAACCCGTGTTTGATCGTTTTAATGAATAGAACAAGCATTGGGAGAGATGAAGAATCGTAGAGCAAATAATTCCTGCTTTGAGGTTCTTTTCTCAAACAGTCGAAAACCTTGTCCACAACAATAAAAATAGAAATTTCATGGTTGCATCTCCGAAATCACATTCAAAGTGGTTACATTTTCTATGATAAGCATACAAATGAATACCGAGAACTTCAGTTGAATTAGACACCCAGAGAGGAAGATGATAAAAAAGAAAGACGTTAAAAAAGAACATCAGCATATGAGGGAAGAGAGGATAAACAAAGATAAGCAAAATGTTTGGAATTTCATAGACTATAAGCTAATAATTATGCGTATAAATAATTGTCTAAGTACTACTTAACACTGAAATCCTCTCCATTTCTACTAATGGTCAGTACGAAAGTACTTGCTTAGTTTAGGTTTAAGTAGCTTTCGCTCTTCAGCATGATTCAAGTCAGTTGGAATGCGCTTATTTGCATCAGTGAGTTTGTGCTAGATTTCAGAGATGCAACTGATATATTTGAAACTCGAAATAGATCCCTCTGCTCAGCTCATATCATTGCATTATACATATGTTGCCAAAAATATGTGGCAAACTACACAAAACAGCCTTCACATGTAAGAAGATTGTGCATAAAGACCATTCACTTAGTAGCATATTTAAATCTAAGAGAAATGCTACTATGTACAGACTCTAATGTATTTGACAGCGATGTTTTGAACAATACTATTGATGGTGTGACATGCTATCTCAAATCCTATCTGCATATCTGTTGACCCACTGAAAAGCTTTTTCCACACTTTGATCGTATATCTTCTTCACAGCTTGAGAAACTAAGAAGAGAGACAAGAGACTACATAAAGTGGGTGATAATGCTAGTGCTCGTCGATTGAATGACTTAATTAGGTTGAAGTTAAACGTCTGAGTCTACTATATAACCAGAAACATTTGTCATGCAAAGGCTCTTCCAGCATGTGGAAAGGTTTTAAAGATCTCACTGGTAGTAAACACCTTAGTAAAGAAGCACATGTCAACGTCTTTGCTTTGAACAAATCGTTCGCATGCCAACCCACCTGTCCCATCCCACTTCGCTTACCTATGTCCAATGAAGAATTTTGTCCGGTGTTCACTGCGACAGAGGTTTCAAGTGTCTCAAATCCCTGAAGTATTTTACACAGTTCAGGTCCGAACTGTATGTTAAGCTTTGTATTCACGAAGTGCGCTGATATTTTATCATCCATCAGGTAAAATGTCCACTAGTTCGGTTTTAGAAAATATCATACCAGCTGCCTGGAAGGATATTACGATAGTCTAGGACTCAAGGAGTATGTACAAAATTCCATCCGATTTCGATTACCACTCCGTTTTTAAAAATAGTGGAGAATTTCACTGAAGACTTTAGAAGACCATAATAAATTTGCATATAAAATCAGAAGAGCACTTTGAATGCCACCACTCTCCTGTATCGCTATATTTCTTATAGTCTTACCATAAATGCCAAGTATGTCAGGTGTGCCTTTTTACACTAAACTCCAGCATTTGATTCTGTCGCAAGACCTCTTTCAATGGATAAGCTAACCGGGACAAATACTGAGTCCTGGATAATCAGCTGGCTGTATTTCTATTTCTCTGATAGGAAACAATATACTGTTCACAGAGAGAAGTGCTCCACCTCATTGCTTATTGTGGCTGGAGGTCCCCAAGGAGCCATCATTTCCTCCTGTCTTTTCTCTTTCTTTCTGCATGACTTACCATCTGTAGCTGGTATCATTTTCATCAAATATCCTGATAACCCAACAGTTTCCATACCTATGTTTAATTCTTCAAAACGTCAGACCACAAACATTAGTTTTAGACTTGAACATAGCCTATGTAAACTGCTCAGTTCTCATGATTTCTGTTCTATTGAAAGTTGTGCACTAGAGGATGTTACAAGGGTGATTTATCTTGGTGTATGTTTTTCTTCAGACGCTTCCTGGTCTTCCAATACCTCACTAATTTCCAAAAGAATTTTCCACCTAACTCTGCATATTAGGAAGCCGAGAGCATCAGGTATTACTCATCCTCTCCTCTTGTGTTTTATACACTCTTGCATCTTGTCTGTTCTTCTCTATCGCTCCCCTTTATTTTTTCCTGGGTTGCTGAAAATAGAATATGCTATATTGCATAGAACTTTGAAGATTATTTACCCCCAAACCTTCTAATTAAAATTGTTGTGGACAAACATATCGACTCATGTGAACATCTGGTAGGAGTTATTTTATCAGATAACCAACATCCTCTTCACTCGAGGCTCTCTACGTGTCGGTTATCTGGAAAGACAAGGAGCAAGTACATGAGACTCTATGCATGTAATACAAAATATACCATATTTAGCTCATCTGCTGTGCGATGAAGAAATTGTTAGAAATGAACTAACTAATCAACTTCTGTTTTTGAAAGCAAACTAATTGATGATGAGCACGTTAATATTTACACATTATGAATCTAATTGCTAATATGACTATCTACTCAAATGAACTGCACATTTTCAAGAAAGTTGTAGATGGAGTGAATATTCTTATCTTATTTATGTGTAATTTACGCTTATTTCATTTTGTGGTGTATACATATACATTGTCTCCGTCCAAGTGATGCGCTATGATATGCGGAAAGTTGTTTAGTTTTCTCGAAATAGCTTTCAGAATAAAGTCATTATTATCATTATTATTATTTAGAATGGAAACACTAAAACTAAAAAACCAAACCAAAAATTTATTTGCTTACCTTGATATTATTACAAGCAGTAGATTCTACCGAAAACAACATAAGTTGCTAATACAATTAAACTCTATGATACGTATAATACAAGAACAATAATGGAAGTCTGTTTGTGGTAAAATGAAAAAGTGCTTTATACATTTCAGCATGGTGGACATAATTTGTAGCTGAGGGGGATGATCTTGGTTGCGCTGTGTGATGAGCGATGAGAACTTTAATGATAAAGCTCTCATTGACATGAGATTCATAAGAGAGAAGGAGTTGAACTATCAACTGCTGTTCTTAAATGTTTTAGTTAGTGAGACCAAGGCCAGAAAAATGAGAAACTCAGGTATGCAGGAAGTCAAGGGACAGTGATCAAATCAGAAACCACAGTAGCAACAGCCCAACAACGAAAAAATTTGTTGAGTACAAACCCAATGCAAAAGAACGAGAACACACTGCAGTAAAACAACTTCACGGAGAGGCGAAGAAAATCATTTGATATCTGTCTGAAAGAAGAACAGCTACCCACAAAACCCCATCAGAAGATGACTATCCGTGCATCATCATCAGCTACAAAGTCATCCGCAGAAATCAACAAACAGATCATTTTACCGTACATAAAGAATGTATAAGATTGTGACAAGATTACTGAGACCACTTGGAATTAGTATGGCTCATAAACTACCAATTTCCTTTCAAACCATATTTTACGGGCCGAAAGATGCAACAACCAAAGAAGACAAGCTAAATATCATTTAGAAAATCAGCTTCAATAATAATGATCAACACTACATTGGAAAAAGTGATCGCCCTATTTACCTTTGTTTACATCAACATCATCTAGCTATTAAACGTCACGATATTTCATCACTCATTTCGGTGCCCGTGGATAACTACGAACATGAGGTCAATTTCGACAGTATAGAAATTTTGGACAGAGGAAACAAAGAATATCAAAGAGTTTCTAGGAGCTTGGCATTCAGATGAGTCAGCAGTCAATAGGTGTATATACACAGAATCAACCTATCAGTCAAAAAGAGGAATGATGAACAACAGAAAGGTCAGAGGTCAAGCGGATGAAAAGCCAACAAGAGAATATGCAGTCAATGACACATTAATCAAAGGAAACAACCAATCACAAACCATTTCGTCAGGCCAAGCTGCTGAATCACTTATGGCGAAAGGCTGACAGCCCACTTAGTGTTCAAGTCGGTGTGGATTATTTTTTCCATAAACACAGTGATTAAACCATGATAAAACACCAGGATAAAACCATCCATATCAGAGAATGCAACACAGCCAAGATATCTCATTTTTCTCTAACTCATATCAGTCCGTGATGAATACCAACTTGAAATCTATAAAGACCTCAAAACTGAAGTTAGATTTACAAGCAGCATTAGTTTTTTGGTTACAATTTAATTGGTAGTGACAAATAGAGAAACCCGAGATGCTTATTTCGTCCTATTTGGGACTCGTTAGATGGATGTAACTTCATGCCTGTCAGTGATGGTGTTCTCAATGGGATTCTAATCTCATGTGCCTATAGGCATCAGTCAGTTCGATCCAGTATAACAACGGAAAATTACAATTATCAATGAATAATAAGTGATACTTAATGGATAATAGTTGGCTCTCGCACTTTAATGGCCTAGTAGATGACCTGCCGGGATTTGAAGAGATGGGTACGAAGTTTGAGTCTCAGTGAAAACATTATCACTCACTGGAGTGTAGGTACATCTGATTTACGTGTTCCAATAAGAAAGAAAAAGGCGTACTGGATGCCAATGCTAATCACCATCAAATACATTTTAAAACGAAGAATTTATAGATAATGTCAAGCCGTCCATGAAGGTGCTCATATCTGAGCATAAGTTGATCAGTTTGACCTAGTATAACAACGGAGAATTGCAAGTATAAACAATTAATAATCACTAAATTCAATTCGGTGTAATGATATTCCTACTTAAATCCCTCATCTGACTTTTTGGATGTAATATCGACATAAGAGAAACTAAAACTTGGTGTTGTTTATCATCATAAATACTGAACGACACGTTTGTTCCTTAGCATAGTTGATACAAAGTAGTAAGCAGCTTATTTGCTAATGTGTTTATATCAGCTCAAATCAGAACAAAGCGCCATATGAAACAGCTGGCATATTAATAAATTAGGCAAAAAACACATAAACAACAATTGTTAGACTGTTATCAATCACAGTTACAACAGTAATGTTATGAATTTCATAGAAAATAACCAGATAAAACAGTGAATTATTATTATAAAGGAAAATGGATAAAAAGCATAAGGAATTGAATGAAGTAAGAGTCGTGTTTTCAAAACTTCATCAGTTGAACATGAATTTATTGTTTCACCTAGGAATAAAACAAAAGTAACTTTGAGACAGAATAGAAAAAAAGCATGGAATATATTCAGATAATTAGTGATCACAATTACGTAAATGATATTATATAGTAATACTACTGAGAGTATGCCTTAAAATGAAAGCAATAGGGATAAGCAAACACTGATATCGAAAAATACTTCAAGCTTATACAAAGGAAGCTGTCAGTAATTGCACACGTATGAAGGTGTGAATGTCTGTTGCTGCAGTCAGGTTCATCTTTTTGTAAAAAGATCAAATGCATAGCATAGAAATGAAATATAGAATATTGATTTCTAGGGTATAAGAGAATAAATCAAGTAAATACAATTATAACTTGGTTTTATTACTGTGGTTAATTTTAATAAATAATTGAATATTTGGTCTAAGTGAGAACGTACTCAATTTAAAGCCTATCAAAGGTTTACGCGAGGTGAATGCAGCATGTTTACTTCAGACTTACTTTGAACGCGAATACAATAGATAAATCAGAAGTTGAAAGAAAATGCAAAAAATGATATTATTCACCTTGGAACATAAGACAGAAAAGTTATTTGATTCTGTTAATGGCAGAACAGTGATGACAACGACAACAATAGTAATGATAAAAATAACGCAGAAAATGTTCTAAACCAAGAACAATCATGAAATTGGCTTTGAGTGAAACAATAACCACTGGTATAATAATTCCTTTGAAAGTGTTTATAACTTCCGAATCAAAACTTTGAAACGTATTCATTTTATACGTATGATTATTTGATTATTGTTTCTATCTGTGTGTTCAACAAATATTTTAATGATTTGAACATGTGAATGTTGTTTGAGCTTCATGCACTAGAGGAATAGTCTCTGAGCAAACTATTTTACAGAAATGAGGCACTCCTTATTCTTTCTTATTGCTGTAGCGCGACACCCTCTTCACCGGCATCCGAGGTCTCATAATATCTTGCCTCTTGCATTCTGGCATAATTCATTGCAGTGCAAATAACTATTTGTATCTTGAAAGGAAAATAAGTAAATCAGAGTTATAAACGTCGTAAAAATGGGTATTACCATTAAATTATTAACAGAGTACAGATTATATTTTACTGCCAAACATTTTGAATTACCAATGATTACACTACAGGATAGGATAAAGTACTCTAATCTCCTCCTACGAAGTAAGCAACAACAGTGCTAGTAACTTCTTAAGGAAATTCATTGGTTATATTCAGTGTCATTTCGACTGCGCTAAGCATTTTGTCATCGTATTATTACTATCAAATTTTACCCATACCATCGTCAACAAGGTACACTCTGAATATTCTAGCATAATCACAACAAATGATGTATGGAATTCATCCCATAATAAAGACTAGAATAAACCACTAGTAACTATTCTCTAACTGAAATTCTTGGAAAAAGTAGATTCATCATAATCCTTATTGATGTCTCTATTCAGTATCATCATAGTGCAAATTTAGAAACTTGCCAAAACATCCAATTGTACAGGTAAAGTTTAATATACCGTCTGTCAACGGCGTTTTACATTTACGAAGATACTTCAGTGCGTACTAACAGTAGTTCAAGTTTGGTAGTTTAGGGTTTCCTGAGCTAGGAATTTGAGTAGTGCAAAATTTGCCTCCTATTTAAAGTAAATCACTGAAACATGTTTTCAAAAGGATGGTAATATATGTAATTTAGGTAAACAGTGGTAGAGTTTAGCCTATCTTTACTATGCTCTATACATGCTAACTGTTTACGGTTTCTCCTAGTCTCACGTTGAAGGTTGATGAAGTCACCTAGCCTGGTAATAAAACGTCCAAGAATAAACTGCAAAGCTCGGGAAGCATTAAACAATAAACATCCCCGTCCTAAACGAGAAGTCTTCTATACTACCTAATATATATATATATATATATATATATATATATATATATATATATATATTGTATATATATGTCGAAGAAGAGTGAGACCAGATGGCAGTATAATGCATTGTGAGTATGAAACACTTGTAGTAAACGACAGTGAACCTGAAAGTTACTATTATGCGATATCTGAAGTTACAACAGTTATATCTAGAGATATATCAAACCAATTATCACTTGTGACTTTGTTCATAAAGATGAGACGACTGAAACGTGTTTGTGTTTATTCAGTATATAATTTGAAAAGATGGAAAATAAATTGACTTCCTACTATGTTCATGCTTTGTTATCAATAAATCCGTGAGTTATTCCATTTAATCTACGGCATAAAACGGCACAAAACGTCATGCTGAATTGTTGACTTGGTGCCTTCTGAAAAGCCCAAGATGTATATTAAACAACGAAGTGAAAAATGATTAACTCGACTACTTACGTAACCAAACAGCAACAGGAAAATACCAGCAATAGCAATAACAACGCAGACCAAAATGTCATGTATTCTTTCGGTGAAATTCGCCCTAGCTATATGTATAGGAAGACCATTTTGATCATATAAACCTGTTTGAATGCAAAGAACAGCTTAATTAACATAAGTAACATTCAGGTGGTATTTTACTGCGTATAGCTAAACAAGAGTCAGACAACAGACTGGACAATTTAAAATTCATTTCAAATATAATCTGACTTCAAGTAATCTTATACGTGAATAGCTTTCATAAGTAGGAAAACCATTTAAAACGTGGGACTGTAAGATAGCTGTTTCACCCCAGTATGAAAATCCTCAACAGTGTGCATCTATGACTGTAATTCGCCAGGGCTCGAACCCGGAACCTTCGAGTTTCGCAGCGAGCAAGTCAACATTGAGCCTGTAGGTCAGAATCCAGTGGTCCCCATTTTACGACGTTTGTAAAGTCTGACTCAGTGGCTAAATGGCAACGTGCTTGCCGTGAAACCTAAAGGTTCTGAACTCAATCCTGGGCGGGGTGCAGGTCTGCACCGCTGAGGAATCCCATATTGAGATGAATTAGCTGTCCACTGCTCCCAGGTTTTCAATGGTTCTCCAGTTGGTGTTAGTCCATGATGAATACGACCTTGAAATCCATGAGCCCCACACATCTCAAAGTTGAATGGCATTGGTTGAAGCTTGATGTTATGGTAGGCGATAGAACAACTGATTTGGTTTCAAACAAAATTCCCCTGTTTACCTAAAAAACGGCACTTAGTTACTTTTCCTCGTATTTTATAAAGATTAGATATATTTTGTCTTTATTCCTGCCGTGTATTGTGAGCGAAATGCAAGCAAAATTTGTAGCCCTCAACAAGGAGATGAGAGGCTTTTGCAGACAAAAGCAGCTTGCTTTATTTCATTGGTTAGACAATACTGGAATACTATGTTAAATTTTTTATCTGATATGTAGCACCGTGTGATACAGTATTACTTACTTGATGACGTTTCCAGGATAAATTATCGCTCATAATCATATCATGTTCATCAAACCACTTTCGATATCTGATTTAAATAGTCTTGTCCCTTAATATTCCTTGTTTCTAGTGGTGCAGAAAACGACAGCGCTTAGACGCAGGAAAGAATGTTTATCATTGACATCTTGTACAGTAGTCATCAAATATTGTACACTTTCCACTAACGTAGTCATCTGCATAATGTGCTTCATTTCCTCTTCTGCTTCTATCTTGATTTGCTCTTAATACCCCCTCACTATCTCCTGCGTTTCTCTGGGCAGAATCTTTACCGATTCCTCGTAATTCCCCATAAGTTCTGTTCCCTGTCAACATATACTACTTATATCCATTCTGATTAGTAACGCCTACTACAGTGGTAGTAAGATTTTTCACATCTCTGGTGTAGGTATTGTATCGTTCCTATTACATATGTTGTGTGTTGACTTGATGATTGATTGATTCAATTTAGTGTAGTCGGTCTCCCTCTCTCTCTGTCTCTCCGTCTAATTATATTGGACTTAAGTGGTCTTTATCTCACCCTATCATGTGTTTGTGTGCGGTACATTGGCCAAGATTTTTCTAGATTATTGATACTTCTGGGGTCTGTTATTCTATATTTAGCTGAATTCCTATGTTCCGCTAATCTAACTGACTCCGACCGGCTAGTTTGACCTATGTACTTGACGTGACCTGACTCACAGTCATTACATGGAATTTGATAAATTAGATTATTTTGCTTCATTGGTCCTATCGGATCCTTAAGCCAGCTGACATAGCTTATCTTTGAGTGAGTTTATAGGTTTAAATGCTACCCTAATTTCAGCTTTGTTAAGAATTCTACAGAAAGTTTGTGATGTTCGTTCCTTAAAAGGTTACACAATGGAGCCTCTGAACTTCTTTCTACTCATGTTATCGCTACTTTTCGTACTCATATTACTGTTATTATTTCGTCTCTTATGTGTTCCTAAGAATTTCTTCATAAACGGTAGAGGATAGTTATTAACTTTCCTTTCGGGTTTCAATTTCTTGTTTAAGTTTTTGCACTAACTAGTCAGTTTTCTAGCTCTATTATTTAAAAATTTGTCTCAGCCCACCTTAACTGACATTGGATGAGGTAACCTGAAGCCTAGAAACCTGTTAGATTGTGTCGGTTTCCTACAGATGATAGTATTCATACCACTGTCTGTTCTTCATTTCACTCTGGAATTCAAAATTTTTCGAAACGCCTTGGGATTATTTTAAAACCTAAGTATATAATGATTAAACCTGAATGGGAGCTCAGCCACTTTCAGGACACTCTCAATATACATGGCTTTGATGTTAATAACATAGATATTGCTAAAATTCGCATCGATATTAGATTCTTCTGTCTAAAATGCATGTTACTTTGGTTTCTAATATCAGAATGGGAAATGGGTTATATATATATATATATATATATATTCATTATCGACATTAAAACTACTTGTGTGGGGATCTGTTGCACTCAACTCATCATAGAGAACAAGATCCGGATTTTCAACACTATCAGTCAATTCAGTGCTTCTATGTGATGGTTCAGAGACTAAGCTCGTTACGAAAAGAATTTCCAACAAACTGCATACATGCATCAACAGCTACTGCCTATGCTCACTCCATACTGAAGGTCACATCAGACAACCAGAAAGAACAAGCAACAAGGAAATCCTGGCTGGTAACGAACCAGCGAAGAACACATCGCCCAACAAATATGTAGAGGAAAGTGCAGATGGATTGGATTGAGCATACACTGAGAAGACCATTGGGGACAACACGCTCCAGGTCGGGTCATCGAGTGAAACCCAAATGGAAGACGACGAGTTGGGCGTTCAAGGTGAGGGTGACATGAAGGAGATCATGTGAGGAAGAAATGAAAGCTACTGGGGATTCATGGAGTCAAGTTGAAAGAACTGCAGAGAAGAGATTGAAATAGTGGCGTGCTACTGAATCTCTATGTTCCACTCGGAACCGAAATAACAAATAAATAATAATAATAGATTGGTAATCCTTGTGTAGCCTTAACAACTTTGTCAAGTTTCATCAGTTTTCATCGTCCGACATCTTTATTAACTTCCATCTCATTCAAAACATTCCTATCAATATTTAGAAGCATATCGGATACCTTGTTTTTTATCCTACTCTATGACTTTGTTCTGGTGACTAACCCCAGAATTTAAGACACACGTTTCATCCTGTTTGAGTCTCCTCATCTAGATATACTTGGACCCCAGTTGATGGTGATGTTCCCACCGGGACTTGAACCCAGAACTCATTGCTTCAAAAAGGCGAAACATTCGTCCTGGATTCCACTGCTACCCAGCCCGAAACCAATTGCAATGTCATGAAAAATCAGGTGATACTGAGGCATCTTCACATGAGCCCATATGCCAGCATAGGTCGATCAGTTCGACTGACTATACCAAAGATTATATGTATTTATAAATAACAGTCAAATTCCATGAATTGCAAGTGACTGAGAAGTATCCACGAAACAAATAACTGCTAATTCTGCTACTCTTTTTTCTATTTTATCTGGAAATGTAGTTCTGTTGTAAAATAAAATAACCTAATTCATTATTTTATTAGCTACTGAACTGAAATTTAAAAGCACTACATTATGCTCATCGTAGTTTTCCGCTCTTGGAGCCGCTAACAACTTTTGGAATATGTTACAAGCTTCTGTAAATAATCCCTAGTCAACGCAATGAAATTATGTGAGCTTTTTGTGATATATGCATTTTGAAGTTGTTTAGGTTGTAAGTAATTGAGGAGTATCGGTGAGAAAAAAATGAGTATATTTCATTCTTCTACATATGCTGTTGTTGATCTCAACGGAAATCGAACCTACAAAGAGAATGCAGTGAGAACAAGCATAGTACTGAATAACTCCTAAACACTCAGTAAAAACAATATCAACATAAAATCTGGCATTTCTATGTAGGAATTCAAGTAGCCACACCTCACATCACATAAAGCGGAAATGCATTGCTATGAAAGATTAGGAAGGAAAGAAGAAAGGGGAACATGGGGAGACAGAGTATGAGAGAATGAGGTACTAGGGAAGTTCTGCATAACAGTTACGATAATGAGTAATTATTGATACTTTTGCACCACTGAGTTAAATTCTGAATCATATTGCTTAGAGTTTCCAACCACCAGTTTCTGTCGTCACACAGACCGCAACCATAAAGTCTGCATTTACCTATACGATTTGGCCAAATAGTTAAAGACCATGAAGTGGTGCAGTGTTTTAGTCTTTTCACCTCCAATTTTTGTCTAGCGTTAACATAATTAAGCTAACACTAAGCAACAGAGTGAGTGATGACTTGAGATGCGTAACATCTGCCAGCATCCCGAGTCAATGAATGTTCACAATCTCATCTATTGACTTTTCCCTACAATGCTGACACAGTGACATCGTGATGCACGGACAATGCTGGGAAGAAAACAGTGCTAAAACAACTAAGGCCATGACATCTTCTGTATATTTAATGGTCATATTCAACAACCATATAGCAGAACAGAGTGAATTGCAGCCCAGTACACTTGACCCTTAATATACAATTGGATATCGTCGTGGTACTACAGATGAAGTAGGTTAGCGAAGGTCAGTTGAGTCTTCTGTATCCATACCGAGACCTCGTTAGTTGCTGACCCACCATGGTTGGCTGGACTTCCAAGGTAACTGAAGTAGTCAACTGAGTCAAACACTTAACTTCCTATTGCTAGATGAGGCATCATTGATGACTAGTGATGCGGCTGTAACTTGCATTTGGGTGGTGAGAAAACTATCCTAAACAATCTCAAATTGCCGCTCAAGGTCCTCAAAAGATCCTACATTTTGTCAGTTTCTTAACCTAACAGGACTTTGTCATCTCTAGGTGCTGTAGATCTACTAAGGATTCTCCTGTGAAAAGATCAATTCCTGTTTAGTCAGATGACGATAAGGAAGCCTACATTAGTACATGTATGATAGAGTTTAACAAGAATATATGGAGTGGACATCTTTACCGGACACTACTTAATGTATACAACTCAACTGATAGCTCACCATAGTCTCTAACACGTTCACGGGTGTTTGGTTACAGAGCCTTCAAAAAGTGACTTACTTTGTGTCCCTTTCAGGGAGAGAGAATAACAAAAGACGGAGTCAAATGTTGCTTTTAAGTCCATGAATACAGATTATTTCGGGCGTTGGTAAATATCCCTATGTTTAAGAAGCCGGAGGAGTGTAAATATCTAGTCAACGCACTCACAGCTAGGTCTGAAATCTGACCGATTTTATCGGATTCACCATTTTCGAGCTCGTCCCAGTCCTTTAATAATCATAGAAACTAGAATCTTAGAAACCTTTTTGTCAGGCTGATTCCCTTTTGATTAGTGCAAGAGGATTTACCTCATTCCTTCAAGACTGAAGAAATCAGTGACTGAGACCAGTTGTAGGGGATCAATATCTGGTTCTCATACAGCAGCTAACACTTCAGTTTACTCGACCAATTATACATGACCACCAACACTAAATACTTCTGTCTCGCTCTGTTTTCCATCCACTTTTGAGGTTACACAGATTTATTGACTTCTGAAAGTGTTGAACGCTCTATCTCAATGCTCGACTCCAGATCCGACTGGAGAGGAAGCAACGGAGTAGTACCTCGATACCAGCTGAACTGTTTCTTGAAATGTTCTGCCCATTATTCATCTCCCCTACGCGTAAACCAAATACACGTCCTTCTCCATTGTATATTCTGTGACTACTGATCTATTCGCCCTGGTTTCTTTGATTAGTCTGCATAAAGATCTACTATTACCAATCGTCCCTGTCTCTCTCGTCTCTTTAGCCTTCATCGCGCGCCACTGCTCGCAGTTGTTACGTAAATTTTGTCAGTCTACATGTGGGTTGCTTCCACCCCCGATTGTATTTAGAGCCTACATCCACCAATTCAGAAGTTGCTGAGATCCACTGGCTCATTTTGACCACTCTCTGAGACATGGATGCACTCCTCAGTACTGTTTCTACAGCAGACTAGAGATGGCACCAGGTTTCTTTAGAATAAGTCATTTTGTTCGGTTTCGGTTACTATTTAGCCAGTTTCTAGCTGATGAAGGCCTTGTATTATTACCATCATTGAGTTGTTTTCTGAATAGTCTTGTTTCCCTAGTTTTCTTACAACCACTTGAGCCAGACACATATGATTTCTATTCAGACACGTTCTCCTTAACCGGTGGTGATTCTTCACCGCCTCCCTCCATTCCTAACTGATAGCTAGACGGTCTATTTGTGTTCATCACTGAGTTGAGGTCAGTAGACGCTACATCAGGCAATGCTTCTGTTAGTGTCTGAAGTTCACGTCAGCTGGAAATAGATGGCTGTTTGAGCGCAGCTGCAGCAGGCGAACATCGTTGCCTGTTCATTCAGCTGGGATTCCGAAGTCGTCATTTAATCGCCTTTCTTTTTGACTTAGCCTACCTACTTGTGTATTGAAATCACTCGCTACAACGACTAAGTTCGAACGCCTGGCTTTCATTATAGGCTAGCTAGCTTTTGATGAAACTCATCCTTCATTTCATTCAAACTACAGTCGTCAATGGGTAAGCAAGCAGAGAACCATTTTTCTTAGTCTTCATTGTACAATTCAGTCTAATAGCTCACAGATAAGTGTCCACTGGGATTCAGTCGAGTAGCGTTCCTACTGCCTGGAGACTAAATGATACTTCTTAAAGACTGCGAGAACTGGCTATGGAATCTCCGATACATAAAGAGAGGATTTATCGGATTCATTGTATTGACCGGGTGAGCTGTAGTGAATGACTTGTATGAGTGCCACAAAAACAGAAAAAGCCCATGATACCAGAGTTTTAGCCAAGGAAGCTTGTCGACCAATTTAGTGGACAGTGATGACACTGAAAGCTTCAATATATAATTTGGAACTCGGTTCCAGGAGACCAGGAATGCTGTTCCGTGAACTTGAATCGTTATCAGATGCTGCAGAGCTGGGAAAAATTTGAGATGATGTAAGAATAATGACTGAAAGATTGGGAAGAATAGATGTGGAAGACCGCTAATAACCTGGTGAAATCTGAGTGCTGACAGGAATGTGGAGACGGTTGACACTCCCCGGATGTCCACTCCATGGAAGTCTAGTTCTTCTTAAGGTATCTGAGAAAGAAGGGTTAGTAATAGTAATGAGTGAGCGCAAAGTTTAACAAACATCTGCTTTAGGCCAGTCACATTCAGCCTTTTTAGAAGTTTGAGATTTCAGTTTGTTTTATCTTTGAGTCTATCTAAAAACCTATACCGTTAGTATGGCTCAAGCTAGAGAGGAGTATTTTATTTTGGCTACCAACCTTTTCTTATCCCCCTTCCCATACGGAAGGCAACATGAACATTGTACAGCTGTTCATTCGGAGCAAACAACTTACTACTGTCACATCTCAGTCCAACCATCAGCACGACTTCACCGTTAGACCTCCTACATAGCGAAGCAATTGACACTATAATGATAAGTTCTTTTCATCTTACCACTATCCAACAGACCTTTCTGGCCTCAAATTAACAAGGGTTTTACCAGCATAGTTGTTTGGGTCATTATGATGTGCAAATTCGACTGTCATGTCAAAAAAGCAGCTTTCAATTTATTAACCTTGATAATGACTAGTTTCATGCTGGTGAGAAGTGGAGTGAAATGTAGTCACAAAGACAAATTTAGTTGATTAAACCGAGAGCAAATTTGTCAGTTGACAATCCATTTTTCGGGAATCCAAAGCGTCATAATACTTTCATGACAAGATAGAAGAAAGGATGGTTACTGTAAGATGCAAACTTAATGATATTTAGTAGTTTTATGCCCTTCTGAGAAAGCTGTGGTTCGGTAGACTGGTATTAACTACAGTGAGTGATAGCTAAAGGTTAAATGAAAAAGTGGTTGCTGAATTACCGTCTTCTTTCTCTATTGACTAAGCTATGCGATTCAGTTGCTGACCAAGCCTTAGTTCTATTCCTATTCATAAATGTTTCACATGAATGTCAAACAAAGACATGCTACACATCTGTGCGTTCATCGTCATCATACTAGCTACCCAGACGTGTTTCATTTTCTTATAGCAGATGACAATAAAGCTGAACTGAAATGTTATCTAGTGAGTTATTCTCTTTAGGTATTTGCCATACATAATAAATCTACTTAGGTAGAACACCATGTTACGTAACCGCTTAAATGCGGTGATTTCTGCGAAACACTTGATGTATAACTATCTTATGTGAATTTAATGGGTGGAAATAAGTGAATCAACACTAAAGGAGGATACTACACAACCTGATGTTTTACAAATCAAATTAAATGACTTCGGGAATAAACTATAAAGTATGTTGATTACAGGTCGGTATTCATAAGTTGGAGGAATATTGGAAACTTGGGAGCACTGGTCAGCTGTTTCGTTCTAGTAACGAACTCGTTAACAATGAGAACCCAAAACCCCAGTCAGGGATCGAACCCAGGACTTTCAGGTTACTCTTCCTTTAGAGCTGTGTACTAGGAAGAAACAGGTAATTATTGGTTCCAGAGTTCCAATGTTTCTCCAACTGATGTCAATCTAAGATTTATACTAACGTGAAGGCAATAAATAAATTTCCACAAGCCTTCAAATTGTAAAGTATGTTGCCAAGAATTTTATATTTCAGACAGCAGTGTCAAAAGTCTGAACGTGTGGTTTTCTGATTTAGTCTCTGACATTTGTTTCTGTTTTTGGCCCCACACTATCGCCATCACTTTAGTACATTCCAGAAACCTTAGAAGTTTTTCAAGCATCTTTTTCTTTCATCGTTTGAAACAGAAACACATTTTTTTTAAATGAACAGACTTCAACATTTAATAGGACAAGCATCACTATGGTTTAAAATATTCTGAATTATTTGAGCTTGCTTACCGTAATAAGATAAATCAAATGTATCTTGACTACACTGATAAAATAATTTGATTGATTCGGGAACACTGAGAGCACGTTCCATCACTGTATTTAACAACTTTTCTGACGAAAGTTTTAAAGTTGATGACTTTCCATCAGATGAACTTATTACGGGAGGTGGCTGATCAACCATTTTTGGACTTGTTGCTGTAGCCAAGATACCTTTATTTAGATTAGATGCATCCGTTTGTAAGTTCTCACGAACTTCATCTGTAATCAAGACATTTTTGTTATCGATAGAATCGATACCACCAGACTGATCAGGAAGCCATTCTTCAATATCACGTCGTTTCATTTGTCTTTCACTTAAATCCAACATTTCACGCGTATAACTATTGCTTGGAGCCATAAATTCCGCTGGTAATTCATGATAACTTGTACTAAGTCGTCCAACAGAGGCTAACCTCAATCGAGTTGGTCCTTCATTTCGGTAGAGCAGAAGTGCAATACTAACAACTGGGTAACTCACTAGGCATGCGATTGCTGACCATAATATGACAGCAATTACTAGAAGTATAATAAGCTGAGAGACAAAAGAAGAAAGTTGATGCTGGTAAGAATAACAGTGATCTAAAAAAGATGATTTCACTTAAAAATTGCATAAGCTGACTTTAATGACGTGCTAACATCAAAACCTTTTAAACCATGGCGTAAAAACACTATTCGATATACAATAATAGGTTTTTTTTCATATAAATGTTTGGTTTTTTGTCACAAGTGATTAAAAGCAACTTTCAAACACATATATTACACCTTAGAGTTATTTGAGTGAGTATAACTTAGCAAAAACACTGATCTTTTCCAATTTATATATGCCATCTTGAGGTTAAATCGGAGATGTAACTGCATACGCTTGCATTATTTATCATACATTACAAGTAGCTTTTTATAAACAGAGGCCTTATTTATCCGTCGATTTAGTTCCAGGGGGCGGCAGGCGTAGCAAGCTGAGCCTAGTTGTTGATAACAGTTCATCATCAATCTCTTGGCATATAAACTTAGATTATTTGAACTAAACAGTTAACAATTTTCAATAAAGTATGACTTCTATTTCAACTTGGGTATAAAAAGTAATTGCTACCACGAACCTGATTTCTTTTCACTTTCAGTCATTAACCAAGTAAACTTTTTTAGTGAATTTTCTTTAAACAGCAATCTTCTGCAAGTTTCTTATTCGTGACTGAACTCCATTTTACAATTACAACCGTTCATTGAATATAACTGAACAAACAAGATACAGTTAATCGATTCTTACTTGCTTCTTACCCGCTCGCGTGGTTGGTTTAACTTCGTATTGAGGCTAGCGCAAGTGTTTGACTATTGTGACAAGTTGATAGTATGAACAAAATGAATTTAGTAACTAATCGTAGTTCAGTAATCACAGTAGATTCAAATAAACCGTGTTCATGAAATTGAATCTCTACGTGGAAAAAGCGTTAACAATAGTAGTCTGATATCTCTGTCAAACACTGGCAACTAGCATTATGCAACATGTATTATTTTAAAGATGAGTGGTAGGCATCTTCAATATTTTGAAGGATATATCTTATTTTGGCGAAACTAAATTATAAAAGGCCTATGGGAATTTTGAAATCAATCATTCTCTACATCTAATTCTAATAGAGATATTTTTTGTCCACTACAATTACTTCTTGATAGAAAACATTTCCAGAATTTGTGCTGCGATCCAGTAAAGCTCATATTCCGGAAAACACTTTATCTGATGACAAATATAATTCCTCTGAAATATAGTATCACTTAGAAATACACAATAAAACACAACCTTCAGTAAGTTCTATCATATCAGTCGGTAGAAAAATGTAAGATAAAAACGTTAATTGTGCTCGAAATATAATCGTTTCAAACATCATTTCTGCATACCGCTTAGGTGACAGGAAACAGAAAAATTCACATATATATAGTGATTCTTTGAGAATAAATGTCGAAAAATTTACTTACTTTTCGTACTTACTTATTACGCTGTTAAGAATTTGTTAAATGTTCAATTTATTACTTCAAAATAAGGAATTACGGAAAACCACCAACTTCTAGTTTCAGATCTGCAGATCAATGGAGACAGTACCAAACTCAGCATATCATAGCTTTATGTAGATGGTCTTCTATCAGCTCAGAGTTAATTTATTTTAGGGAACTATTGCAAGTAAGTCAAAGCTTCCTTAGCTTTTTTCTCTATAAAATGTCGAACAACCATGCAAATGTTGAGGAGAGTGAAGATCCTTTCACTGCAATATGCTCACGTGGGAGATCAATAGTATATTTAATAAAATTCATCTAATTCCAAAAAATTACGTCACAAGAAAGTGAGCAGAACAGGGGACTGACATATGTCAGCGACTGACAAAAAACGTAGCAGAAACCATTCATATTCTTCAGTAATACTTACAAGCTGGAACAAGGTGATCTAGACACGGCAGAAGTGTTATCCATTCAAGGCCCAGATGGAGAGCCACCCTCATCATACCTCGCATACAATGTACACCCTCCCGTCACCTATGACATATCAAACAGCAAATCACCATAAGGAATGCTCTGAGCTTACAGACCATGCACCCCAGAGAACTAATTAACATCTAGCTAGCCCACCATAACCACAATAAATAGGTTTCTTCAGTTCAAAGCTCTTGTGCTGAACGGGAGGACCGTGAATCAGCCCGCAAGTTGATACCTGCTTATCGGAGGGAACCAGGTGAATGTCCATTGTCGTGCAACTAAACTCCCTCGTCTCGTTAACACCTGACCTATGGAATTCGGCTAAAATATACGCCATCGATCAAGCGGTTACACATTGATTCGGAACACCATGACCATCAGGAATTTAACTAACCAACCAAAGACGACTAAATGTGCTTCTTTGGTTAGGCGTTTAGTCAGGACTTCAAATATTCGTGTCACCAATTAGATGACAAGGCATTTGGTTACCCTAAGGGAGTCATAGTCACATAACACATATCCGAACTACTTTTGTGTATTAGAGAGAACGAGAATTTTAGAGAATATATCTTTTTCGGCGATTTCTTCCCCATAGCAGTGCAATCGCAATTTATACATTTTGTTTAACTATACTGAATAGTTACAAGAATTATTTAGTGAAACCAAGTAACAAAAATCAAGTTGAACGAATATTAAAAATTCACATGTTTAATGCAAAGTGAAAATTAATCACAAAAGAGAATAGAAACTAAAATAATTAACCAGACAGAATTTGAGATTGCATGATGTGTCAAAATGATTTTCAAGATAAAACATGACCAATGGAAGCATGAAAAAACTGAAGACGATATTAGGTTATTAAAATATATACTGTTAAAATACAGCTATCTATTATTATTATTATTATTATCATTATTATTTGTCCCTTGGGTTCCTAATGGAACATAGGGCTTCAGTAGCACGTCTCCAGTGAACTCTGTTCTCTGAGATCTTTTGAGCCTGCCTCCACGACAGCCAACAAGCTCTCATTTCCTCCTCGCACGATCTCCTCCATGTCACCCTCACCTCGGACGTCCAACTCGTCGCTTCCCACGGGGATTCCACTCAACCAACTGGCCTGACGCGTGATGTCCCCAGTCGGCCTTCTCAGTGTATGTCCAATCTAATCCATCTCCACTTCCTTCCAGTGCATATTTGTTGAGTGATAGGTTCTTGGTTGGTTCGTTCCCAGGGCTCCTTGTTGCTTATTCTTTTCTGATAGCTCACTTCATATTGAAGTTATTGTTGGTAATGGTGAACGATTTACGTTTAAACCACAAAGATTAGAGAATGTAACACCACCAAGAAGCTCTTGTATCTTTGAGATCCAGCAAATGTGACAGGAATCACATAGAGAGAACTTTATACTTTGAAAACTTCACTATATTTAGGTCTTCAGCTTACGATATGGTCATTTTTACAGCAAGTTGAGTATGCGGCCACCCTCATAGTATCTCTCTCTCCTTAAAAGTTATGCTTTTTGAGGATCTAAACTAGCAAGTCTTCAAAAAACAATTTTAAGTCTTGCATTTTTTTAATGTGGAAGTTTATGACATAATGAAGCACAACAAGAAAGTTGAATCTCAAAAGTTTATTTGTTTTCTATGACGAAAAATCCATAATCGACTATGGATTGTAACTTTTCGACTATCCTTATGTTTAGCAAATGTGTTAACAGTCATTCCCTGGATTACTGTTGGAATAAATGATCAGAATAGAGCTATATTATTATTATTATTATTATTAGTCCCTTGGGTTCCTAGTGGAACATAGGGCTTCAGTAACACGTCTCCAGTGACCTCTGTTCTCTGAGATCTTTTGAACCTGGTTCCACGACAGCCAAAAAGCTCTCATTTCCTCCTCGCACGATCTCCTTCATGGTTGGTTTGTTCCCAGAGCTCCTTGTTGCTCATTCTTTCTGACCATCTGATCTTCAGTAGCGAGCATAAGCAGCTGTTGATGAATGTCTATAGTTTATTGGAAATCACTTTCGTAACGCGTCAAGTCTCTGAACCATACAGAAGCACTGACTTGACTGACTTGGTGTTGAAAATCCGCATCTTGTTCAGCATGCTGAGTGCAGAAAATCTCCACACTGGTTTCAGGTTAATGAACGCTTGTCTTGCTTTTCCGATTCTGACTGGTTTTGACATCCCGTCCGTGCCGCCTGTAGTTGAAACAGTGCTGCCTAGGTAGGTGTAGGTGAAGGAGGTTACTTCCTTTAAGTTTCTCCTGTTGATGGTGACTGGAGTTTATTGTTGTTGTTGGAGTTGTTGGTGCGGTATCTTCATCACTTCTGTCTTCTCTATATTCACTTGAAGTGCCGTCTTCGCTGCCTCACCTCTTCTGTCAACCTGTTAGTTTTCACCTGTAGATCTTCTAGTTTGTGTGACACCAGACATAAGTCATCGACGAAATCCAAGTCTTCTAGGTTCTTTTCCGCTGTCCAGCTAGCGTATCCCCCTCTTCTCGCTCTCCACCGTTTGCTGCATGATCCAGTCTAGTCGACCACAATCGGGAATATCATGGGACAGCTTTCTAGTATAAATAAAAATAAAATTTCTAGATTGCGATTACACAGCTATGAAAAGTGAAATCACCGAAAAAGTTATCTCTGCTGAATTTTTCTTCTCTAATTTCCTAATGGGTATTTTCAGTAATTTAAAGAATACTTTCATGGAATTCATTTGATTACCCGATTCTCAGGAAATAAAGATATTAGTGAAGTAGATATATTTAAGTTCCGGTTGGGGATATCTTGACCATTGATCTTCTCGAAGAAGGTTTTGAGAGTAATCAATTGCCTCCGCCTTGTCTGTGTGTTTTTTATAACACAAATCGACACTTATTTCAAGTAAGAAGGTAAAGAATATACTCGACGCTTAGACTTATGCAGTTCATCCGTTCTGTTCCTTTAAAAATGAATCAGTTATGTCTATCTCCGTTTCATTATCGTAGGTTTAAGAGCTAAACGGGAGAAAGAAGCCTTCATCTTACAATTAATTTATTTATATTTGTCAGTTAGGAAAGGAA